AACTAACATCATGCCTTACACAAACGTAAACGAATGGTTGTGGCGCAAAACAAAACAAACAAAAAAATCGATTGAAACCTGTTTTTTCCCCATATATATTGATGAAACAACAGAAGAAATGATCATCATGTGATTGAGCTTGCCAAAAACAGAAACAAAAAATTCATTGATAATGATCTTTAGCTTTATTAATTTATTGACTGAAAAATCATCATCATCATCAAATTACAAAGTATTTATTATTATTGCATGTAGGCTTATTATCAAAGATCTCATTCAATTTATAAACAAAAAAAATTGTAGATTTTTTTTTCTTTCTCTCTTTTAATTTAATTAATTAAAATAAAAATAACCAATTAAATTTATTTACAAATTTTTACAATTTATCAAATTTTATTGATTGAGTTTTGACATTGTTTCGGTTGTCATATATGAAACGTCGAAATTTTTTTGCGTATTTGGGTCTATCATATCTTCATCATCGATTTTCTTTCTGATATCAAATTTCCAATATCCAATATCGATATTTATCGATATTTATCGATTTGATGAACCCTGTACAAATTGTTCATTGGTCGAATTTTTTATTTTCTGTTTGCTTGTTTGATTGTTTATCTGTCAAATTGATATTGTTTTCAAATGAAAAAAAATTAATGAAATATATGTACCCAATTAGCGTACATCCAATAATTATCCTATACTTGTTTGTTTGTAAATATTATTTACATCAACATTAACATTTACTTTGTGTTTCTTCTGTTCTGACATAAATATGGATAACATATACATGCGGCAAGTGTTAACACACACACATTTTGCCTTTTATTCAATGAATGATGAGTTTTGATTTTTTGATTTTTTTTTTGCTCAATGGAAATGCATTCATAGTTTTTTTTCCTTTGGAGAAACATGGACATTTGATTATCGATGATAATCAAATGGCTGGCTGATAGATTGTACTCGATTTCAATGACAATCTTTTTTCTTTTTCTTTTTCTTTTTTTTTGCTTCGATGATATGCACCCAAATTTGCATCATTTTTTTCCAGAGTCATATTTAAGATGGGAGAATAATCGACATGTGATTTCATTTTACTTGAAACTGTTCTTCTATTCATTCGATACAAATTTTTGAAATTTTCAAAATTCAAACAAAACAAAACAAAACAAAAATGACCAAACGAATTGCAATTATTGGTGCTGGTGTTTGTGGTATTACATCGGCCAAAGCATGTGTTGAACAAAATTTTGAACCAATTGTATTTGAAAAAACTGATTATACATGTGGACTATGGCGTTATCAAGAAAATCTTGATGAAGATGGTATTGCTTCGGTTATGAAATCAACTGTTATTAATACAAGTAAAGAAATTTCAGCATTTTCTGATTATCCACCACCAACTAATTTATCTAATTATATGCATAACACTAAATTGGTTTGTAAAATTTGTAATTTGATTTTTTGTATTTTGTAAAATTTCTTTAATTCAATTCAATTTATTAGTGTGCTTATTTTGATTCATATGGTGAAGTATTTGGATTTAAAAAATATGTACGTTTTCGTCATGAAATACTTTCATTAGAATTGGCCGATGATTTTGATCGTACTGGTCGTTGGAAAGTAACATATAAAAATTTAAATAAAAATGAACAAAAAACAGAAATATTTGATGGTGTTATGGTTTGTATTGGTCATCATAGTAAACCATATTATGCAAAATTTCCTGGACAAGAAAAATTTAAAGGTACTATTACCCATACACATTCATTAAAACATTCAAAAGGATTTGAAGATAAAATTGTTGTTGTTGTTGGTATTGGTAATTCATCATTAGATGCATCAGTTGAATTGGCAACAGTAACCAAACAGGTTTGTAAATTGATTATTTGAGAAACAAAATTCTTTTAAAACATTTTTTTTTGTAAATTAGCTTTATTTATCGACCAGAAGAGGAGCTTGGATTACCCGACGTGTCGGTAAAAATGGTGTTCCCGGTGATGCTGAATTTCTACGACGTTGGGTAACATATGTTACATCGGCTTTACCATTCAGTTGGATTTGTAGTCATTATGAAAGACATTTAAATGAAAATTTTGATCATGATTTATATCAAATTAAACCTAAACATCGTGCATTATCACAACATATTACAATTAATGATGCATTAGCTAATCGTATATTATCTGGTGTTGTTGTTATTAAATCTGATATTGAACGTTTTACCGAAGATGGTATCATATTTCAAGGTAAATTTCTATTTTTATTATTTGTTTTTAGATTTACAATTACAAATTTTTTTTTCATTAAATGTAATTTATAAAGGTGAAAAAGAAGTTACAAAATGTGATGCCGTTATATTGGGTACTGGTTATCGTTTTGATTATCCATTTCTTTCACAAGAAATATTACCTGTAATTGATAATGCAGTTAGACTTTATAAATTTCAATTCATACCAACAATTAAACCAGCACATACATTGGCATTTATTGGACTGATACAACCGATTGGACCAATATTTCCGATTGCTGAATTACAAGCACGTTGGTTTGCACAGCTAATGCTGGGTAGAAAACAACTACCATCAAAAACAATTATGAATACTGATATTGATCGTAGATTAAATGAAATGCGTCAACGATATTATGGTAGTAGTCGTCATACAATTGAAGTAGAATTTACACCATTTATGGATGAATTAGCAAATGAAGTTGGTTGTATGCCAACCGTTTGGAAATATTTATTTACTGATCCAAAATTATTTAAAACATTATTAATGGAACCATCTGTTGCATATCAATATCGTTTAATTGGACCAAATAAATGGAAAGGTGCAAGAGATGCACAAATCAAAGCTATCGATAGAATACAATCTGCATTGGAAACAAATAAAATTTATACGGAAAAAAATCAAACAAAATCACTTCGTTCATCATTAACATCAACAATATTTATGACAATAATCATTAGTTTATTAATGTTTGTTATGTTTATTCGTCGTTCGTTAAATGTTTGATTTAACCTGAAATTAAAAATTAACCCGTTTAACCCGCTGTTTTTTATTTAAAAAAATTTTAATTTTGTAATGTTTAAATATTTTAAATAAATTTTGTTTTTGATAATCTTGATCTGCGGCTCAATGTTTAATAACAAACCCATTACATTAATAACAATTTTTTGATTTCTTTCGACAGTTTTCGGTAAATAACCATCGGATATATATTCCCCGGAAATTGATAAATTACTTGTGGTTGTTGTTGTTGATCTATTTTGTAACAGAATCAATAACAATAATGATAAAAAAAAGTAATTGAATAAAACTTTACAAACAAACACACATATTAAAAAACAATATAAAATGAATATATGAATGAAACAAACCAAATATCATCACCGTTTTGATTGATTTTGTTGATCATTTCGATAATATTGCTTTATATTTGATGAAAATCAACTGTCGATAATGAGGATGGTAATGAGGATGGCAATGGTGAAGATGGTGATAATGATAATGATGATCCAAATGTATTTTCATCACTATAATGAATATATAGATAGCCATCATTATCTTGATATTGGCGATATAATTCTCCAATCAAACATCTATTATTATATGTAAATTTGGAAAAAACAGAAACAGAATGAGAAAAAAACCAATATAATTAATGAATGAATTAAAACAACAGTAAAGAATATCGACCAAAAGTAAATATTACTAAAAGATATTGCGCGTATATATTTTATAAAATGAAAAATTTTTATATTCTGAACTTTTTCTGCTTTGTTGTTTGGTGGATCGATAAAAGTTTTTTTCTTTTCATATTATTAAAAAAAAGGAGCCTTGAAACTATTTACAAATAATTAATTCACACACAAACACAAACACAAAAAATCATTTATAATGAGAATCTATCCAGTCAAAAAAGAATACTTATAATTAGCTATTATGAATGGGAATTTTTTTGTTTTGTTTCATTCCAGAATATTCAAACTTTTTTTTTTGGATACTTACGATGCATGTGGTAATGTACGTTTTACAATCAAATATATTGCACGATTCGATGATGATGATGATGTTGTTATTAAATCAATTTTATTTCGTAATATCCATTGAAATTGTCCAACACTGCAATCATATGGAACGAGAAATTTAAAACGTTTTTTTCTATTCGTTGTTGTTGTTGTTGTTGTTGTTGTTCTATCATTGTTGATCAACGATGATGAAGAATTGACGAATTTTTTTCCATTAAAATTGAATATTTTTCGTATTGAATTCTGTTGTTGTTGTTGTTTATTCATCAACAACATAATATTTGTATCCAATTTTTCAACAATAACCGGTACACGACCGGGAAAATGACGGAAAATATTTTTACATAATTTTTGTTGTCGACGTTGTTTATCTGTTTTGAAAATGGAAAAAAATGAAAATCAAGAATCAGAATCAGAATCAAGATTCAGAATCGGTGATCGTTCTTACAATGATCATTCAATGACGACGATTTCAATGGTGGTGATATTTGAAAACATTCCTTTGAATCATTATTATTATTATCATCCGGAATTCTTTGCTTAGTGGTTATAATTGAATTATTTTCTTGAATTGAATGACGCCAGCTCATTTTTTTTCTGGTGGAGGAATGGTGGTGGTGGAGGGTTAAATTCAATAATCAATATTCACCAGAAAAAAACGCTTTTTTTTTGTTGAAAAAAATTAAATTAAATTTTCAATGAAAATTTTCATTGAATTTCAAATTCCATTGAAATTCCATTTGATTAATGCTGTTTGAATGAGAGAAAATATCACAGGTAAAAATTAATTTTTTTTCGAATCAAAGATGGATGGATTGATTGAAAATGTTTTCCTGATTGATTCGTTTGTTTTCCTCGATCAATAGTGTTCAATAAAATCGCGATAAAGTTGGAAAAAACAGCAAAAATCAATTTAATCAAACCAGAAATTTTTTTTAAAAAAAACCAGAAGCACAACGATACTTGAGATTTTTGTTTTTTTTGTTTTTTAGCAAAGAAAACCCAAAAATAGTTTTCATTTATTTATTTATGTTGTTTTTTTTTCTGCCTACTTAACCCTCCGCTATTCACGCAGCATTTCTCACGTCGTTATCCATGTGGGGTCATTTTTGACCCCAACTTTGATCGCTTTTAAATTATGTTAGAAAGTAAAAATAATCTAAAATTTTGTGCTCAACTCTTAGAAAATATTATCAATTTTAAAATTTCATCAAAAAATTCTATCTTAAAAGCATATCATTAANCATCCCGAAAATCGATGATTTCTCCACTATTTTTAGTCGGAAAACGGTGAAAATTGCCTATCATGTTCAATAAACATAGATCTTCGATCATTCAAGAGAAAATTGATTTATGTCGATAGATTTTTGAATGGCGAAGTTTTAAATGTCGTTGGGGTCAAATTTGACCCCACATGGATAGCCGAGGGTTAAGTTAGAGAGAGATTATGTTGCTTCTGTTGATGATGAATTTCTCTATAATTTATCCAAACAACAAATTGACAGATGTCTGTGTATGATGTATTTGATGATTTTGATAATGATGATCATTATCTCTCTCTCTCTAGATATGAAAGTTTGTTTGTTTTGACTAAATGTTGTTCTTGTTAGTTTTTTTTTCAATTTTATTTTCGAAAAACACACACACACACACACAATGACGTCATTAATTAATCAGTACAGGAGAAAATTTATTAGAAATTCCATGTTTTTTTCCAGGGCCTAATACCAGAAAGAGAAAAAATTTCGAGAAAGTAAATATCAATTTTATCATCAGCAACAAAAAAAAAATCTCTTGACGTTTTTTCCCCAAAATCATTCATCATCCATACATTTTCGATTTTTGTTTTTGATTTCAAATATTGACACCAGGATCTTCAAGATTAGATGGTTTATTTTGTTTCTTGTTTCATTTGCAATTATTGAAGAAGAAACAAAAAAAAAGATCAATTTCTTTTGCTTAAAATCGATATTAGTATAAACATTTTTTTTCAATCATCATCAAATGATCATTCTAAGCTTCTTTTTTTTGAAATTTAATGCTTGTCAATTATGAAGAGAGAGAGAGAGAGAGAGAGAGAGAGAGAGAGAATAAAATGATGCAATGATTCTTGTTCCGAAACAAACAAACTAAACGAAAAAAGTTTGAATAAACAAATTCTTTCTTCTTTGATGTTATCATATTGGTTTTTTCTAAGGATTCTTCTTTGAGGATTCTTTGATATTTGATATTCTGTGCATGTGTGTATAAGGTAGACAAATCAAAATCAGAATTCAGAATAAAGAATGAAAGAATTACATGTCAATAAAATCAAAATTCAATCAATTTCGATGATGATGATGATTATGATATTGAATGTGTCAGTTTTTTTTTTGGAAAAAAGAAGAAGATTCTCGATATTTTTTTTCAAAAAAAAAGTGAATCTCTAAAAGTTTCAATGATAATTGGTGAATGATGAATTGTCGTCATTGATGACATTGAAACAAAAAACAAACAAAAAAAAAACGTAAAAAAAAATGTTTGTTTGTTTGGCCGAATTTCATTTGCAAATTTCATCATCAAGATTTCATCAGGATTCTAGTTAATTCTCATTAGGTCATTTTACAAATTTTTATAATGATTATTTCCATTTAAATTTGCAAAATATAACGGAGAGTCAAGGAGAGAGCGACAGAGAGAATTTAATTCTATTCATATACAAAAGCTACAATAGTTTGATTTCAAATGAATCCAGAGAACACACAGAGAGAGAGAGAGAGAGAGAGAGAGAGAATCCTTTGTATTCATTGGAAATACTAATAAACATCTGCAATACAATAATAATAATATTGAATGATTTTACCCTTGTTGTCTATCTATAATTTGAATGAAAAAGTGAAAAACTTTTTGTTTGTTTATTGAAAGAAATCATATGACTGATTTGTTTTTTCCAAAACATTTTTTTTTTGTTTGAAATTCATTCAATGATGATATATTGAATACACGATTCTTGAGAAAGAAAGAAACAGAAGCTAATGGAAAAACCGAACGAAACAAACGAATTCAGATAGAGAAATATAGATACAGATAGAGAAATACACACACAGAGAGAGTTGACAGTTTTTTTAGCTCAGGATTATCATAATTTCCTGAACATCATTTTACTTTATCATCTTTAGTTTATGGCAAGATTATTATTACTGGATTTTTTTGGTATATTTTTTCCCATTTACTCATAAGTAATGTAATTTATTATTTTTTTTTTCAAATCATGTAATAACATGATTACGAAAGTTGATGATGAAGAAGATGATAAATTGCAATTTTGTTTTTTTTTTTGCTGGAAAACAAAAATTAAAGCAAGAAAATCCATTAATGTAAAAAATAAACAACCTGGTTAGGCATGTAATAAACAAACAAACAAATCAAGCACATCAAGAATATTCTTCTTGAAACAAGGTAATTTCACTGATAATGTTTAGCGATAATGATTAATAATATTGATTGAAAATTAAAACAGAATGGATGTTTTTGGGTTTTTTTTTCTTCTTCACCATATTTCTTTCGAAACTATTCATCCAAAATTTTCATTATGGAATGGATTCGACTATTTCGACTTGCTTAATATAAATAGCATCGGGGGTTTTTTTCTTTGGCGAAGGGGGGAGTCAAAATATATTAAATTTCATTTTTATTTATCGGTTTCCTTGGTTTCTGTTCGCTACTTATAGACCGAAAAAAAAACTATAAACTTGAAATATTGATGATTGTCGACAACAGCAACAGCAGAAAAATTGATTACCCGGCAAAATTTATTTGATTTTTTTTGATAAACGAATAATGAGAGAAAAAAGAGAAACATAAAAGTAATTTATTATTATTGTAAAAAAATGTTTATAATTTTATAAATAATAATTGATTTGATTTGATTTGATCGATTGATAATTAATGATGGAAGTTTTTTTCATTATTTGAAGTTTTTTGTCGATTTTCTGTTGAAAAAAAATTTCGTTAGAAGAACCAGAATATTCTTCTGGTCCAATGGTTGATGATTTCGAAACAAAACAGAACAGGAATGAAAATCTTTGATTTGATGAAAAATACCTGCTAATTAAATCCAAGGTGATAGAAACCTGATGGAAAAAGAATTCAAACCTGGAGATAAATTCAAAACCGGAATTATATACGAAAAATATGGAATAAATTAATTGACAATGGAAAAAGTGAAACTTTTTTTTCACTGGAAAAATTTCATCATTAAATTGAAAAATGAATTTGTTTTTCAATGAAAATTTCAATCTTCAGCTTTCTATTCCCGGGCATAATACAATGAATATATTGAATAAATTGAATTCGAAATGTAAATGTATTTTTTTTTTTCATTTATCCATTTTCATTTATCAAAAATACATTCAACAACAACAGCGAAAAAAATTCATATAAGCTGATTATCGAAAAAATTGGCAAAGAATTTTATGAATGTTTAAACAAAACGAAAGAAGAAGAAGAAGAAGATAAATTCTGCTATCAAACAAACAGAATTTTCCACACACACACACACACATCAAACCAATATCAGTGAGAGAGAGAATAATATATTCCAAATGCTTTAGGCTTTTCCGAAATATTTTTGTCGCTTCTCTAATCGAGAGAAACAAAACGAAGATAATTTTGACAATTGACAATAAAGTAAGGGGACAAATAGTGGTGGTGGTGGTGGAGAGGGAAAAATCATTAATATTATACATCTTCCTACCGGCATATTATTAGTTGTAAATGTTATTCGTTTTTTTTGTGTGTAATATGAATATGATGATGATGAAAAATGGATTATTATTGGCTATTTGCATTATCACTTTGTAAATAATTTATTTTCTTTTCCATATTCTGTTTTTGTCTACCTGATTAATTAATTCATAAAGGTAATATCAATATTTTTTTCAGGTAAATCATTCATTGATTACATGATTTTTTTTTCGTTTTGTTTAGATCAGCAAAGATTTTTTGTTTTCCTTCGTTCGGAAAGTGTGAAAACATTTTGTAATGGCGTTTTTTTGCCAATTTCCAATCATAGAATCGAAACATTTACTTTACAAATCATTAAATTTGAATTAATGTGAATAACAACAACGAAAATCATTCATTCATTCATCTGGAAAAACAAATCATCATCATTATTGATGACATTCAAAAACAAATCATTCGAAAAGAATTTCGTTTATTATTATGGTTATTATTAGTTTTCTCTCTCTCTCTCTCTCTCTCTCTCTCTCTCTCTCTCTCTTTGGCTACTAATCATTTTGTTTGTCAACAATTATTATCCCGGATAAAAATGATGATGATGATGATGATGTTTGAATGTATGTCAAAAAATAATATCCGGATAAAAAAAATCGAAACCCTTTTTGCAGAAAGAAATTTCGAGGCGTTTCAAATGGAATTTGTCGTTGAAAAAATAAAATGTTGCTTTGTAGACTTGTTAAACATAACCTTGGATATATATTTTTTGTCAGAATTTTTCGTTTGGATGACAGGAACATTTGATTAAAATCAATTAATCTAATTGATAAAATGCAAATCAAGAGAGAGAGAGAGAGAGAGAGAGAGAGAGAGAGAGAGAGAAA